TTTCAAATCTCTTTGGGAATACTTAGTCCTCATATACTTTTGAAGAAATGAACTTCGATTCTTTACTCTTTGCTTAACTTGAACTTTAAGTCTTAAAACAAAGTTAAAACATTTATAAAAGACTTTTGAAAACTTTGAAGGACTTCCCTTAACTTGACTCTTGACTTCTCTTGACTTTGATCCTAACTTTTCTTAAGTTGGATTATGGATTCAAGGTTCATGATCTCATGTTTATGGATGATTTCATGATGTTTAGATGTACCTTATAGTGTTGAAATCAACTAGAAAACGTAGGTACATCATGACTAAGGAACACATACAAAAAGGTGGGGAACGAATGGGGAAAACTAGCGTCCCTTGCGCTCTGAGGGGCGTGGGGTGCCAGCCCTCAAAGTTCAGAGAACTTTCTGTAGCGCTCTAGCTGGCGCGACGCACCAGAGGCCAAAGTTTAGAGGAACTTTTGTGGCTCTCTGGCAGGCGCGGCACCCCAAGCCCTTGCCCAGAAAACTCTGATTTTTCTCCTTCGTTTTTCATCTCTAAACCCTCTAAAATTCAATGGTTCTTTCCCTAAACACTTAGAATCATTTATACCCTCAATATGCAATGGATTCAACATGAAATTTCACCCAGAAACACGAATCAAATCAACAAGAGACTTCAACAACACAACCATCAAGAACTCAACGAATTTTCAACAATGTTCTTCAAAAACTCACTTTCTTTGCATTCAAATAACCTAAATTCGTTGTATTGAAACAAGATTGGCGTGTGGGTGAACTAACCCAACACTATGTGATCTCACATACCTTGTAGGGATCCCCCCCCACCCCGACGAAATCCACAAGCGAAGCTCCAAGAAATCGACGAATCTTGAACGTTCTTCTTCTTTCTCCTCTTCTTTTCTCTTCTCTCAAAACCCTAACCCTTTTTCCAAAAGCGTAAACTAATCTAATTCAGTTTAGGCCCCTAATTAATTACAAAAAAAAAAATGAACTAAAATAAAAGGGTAAGGAAAAGACCAAACTACCCTTTAAAAATCAGGATTGGACTTTTCTTATTCCAACAGCCCTACTTTCAAAGGGCCTAATTCACTCATACGAACTTGGATTTGTGCAAACTCGACGGCGTTGGAAAGATCATTCCAAGAGATTTTCTACCATATCTAGAAGTACCTCTAAATCATCTTGAGCTAGAAGTTATGGCCGTTTGAAGTTGATCAAAAACTCATTTTTTCCTAACTTAACCAAAATTCCAGATTTTCGTTCTTTCCAAAAATGACTATTTCCAATTATAAGCTTCTTCCTAGTTATTTCAAATTGCGAGATGTTACAGGACCGACTAAAACCGAAACCGAAAAAACTGACTTTATGTGGTTTGATTTGGTTTTTAGATTTAATAAACCGACATAATTGGTTCAGGGTTTTTTTAATGAAAAACCAAACCAAACCGACCTATGTACACCCCTAGTTGGGAAGTTCAGGCCAGCCTCCAAAAAGTGAGTAATAAATTAAAATCAAATACTACTAAATAAAAATGATTTAATCGAACTATTCTTTCTATTAATATTTTCTTAAGAGATGTGTAAAGAAAAACATGACAAATAGAATAGATCGAAAAAAGTATTATGCAATCAAGTACCTAGGCTTTTGTTGTTCTAAACTCATTCTCGTAAGATCTCTATCCTCTAATATTATGCAATGCAAGTACCTATGGCTTATGTTGTTCTAAACTCATTCTTATAAGATCTCTATCCTCTAATAATGACTAACCTTATTCAATTTTGATATGATCAAAGTTAGACTTTCCAAAATCATTTCATTATCTAGATATTTCTTCAATATTGATATGATTTAGTTTTTTTTTATTAAGAAAATTAATATATGTCATGTATAAAAGTTACAAATAGAAGTTAGAACATGATATCATGCATATTTTTATGAGACTTGATGAAAAAATTCTAGATATTTTTACTGTTAAACAAGAGGTGATTTTTTAAAAAAATATATGAAATACGGTAATAATAGAGATCTATCATATTAAAGTGTAAAATAATGTGAAGCAAAGACAAAATACTTAAATCACTCTAGTAGAAAAAATAATTAAACTGCATAAGCAGAAAGATATCAATCGAAATGACACTCAAAAACCGAAATTATTAAGATTAAATATTCAATAAGAGAAATTCAAATCATATAATAGGAAAAGTATCAAATATCTTATAGTGTTTTAGTTAGTATTTGGGATATTAAAATTAATTTAACTTCAATAAAAATAACATAATAAATTTCAAAGTTTGGACTAAGTTGCATTGCAAGTACTGTCACAAGTGGCTGCTTGACTATTTATATTAGGGTAATGTTAAATGGCTAAAAAAAATTGGTCAGAAATTTAAAAAGTATATAATATTCTTTTTATTTTAAAATAAATTGATCTATATTAGATAGTGCATTAGATAACAACTTATCTTTATTATTACAACTTTTTTATTATTCCGCCAATTACCCTAAGATAATACATATACATATATATACATCTACTACTTATATATATGACCATAGTTTTGAAGAAACCACTCCACATAAAAAGAAGTTGTCTACTATGCAAAAATGGAGTCTATTACAATTTATTTCTTTGCTTCTCTACTTTTCATAATTGTTATTCTCAAAATAAGAAGTAGCCATGCTGCTTCTTCTTCTTCTTCAAAGCTTCCTCCAGGACCATGGAAACTACCTATTATTGGAAACTTACATCAATTAGCAGCTGGTGGCCCTTTAGTCCACAAAGTCCTTAGAGACTTTTCTAAAAAACATGGACCAATAATGCACTTGCAACTTGGACATGTCTCTACTATACTTGTTTCCACACCTGAAACTGCAAAACAAGTGATGCAAACTCATGACATAGTCTTTGCATCAAGGTTTCAGCCTCTTGCTGCTAAGATTATTTCTTATGATTCCGCCAACATAGGATTCGCTCCATATGGTGATTACTGGAGACAGATGCGTAAAATATGTGTACTTGATCTTCTAAGCACCAAGCGCGTTCAGTCCTTCCGGTCTCTTAGAGAAGAAGAATTCTCAGGTTATAAGTTGATTCAAAATTTTAAATTAATGATTTCAAATTATGCTTATATAACTATAGAAAACAAGCAAACTTTTGACGAAATTGTAAAATTCACTTGTTTTTTTGTATTTCCTCTTCTTTTTTTTTAAATGAAATAGAGAAAGGAGATTACAAGGTGAGGAATCGAACCTTAAGGTAAAAGTTCAAGTAGTTAACCAACTGAGCTACTAAGATCCCTCCATTCGCTCTGTTTTAACTGAAGTGTCTAACATTCTTTTTTAGTCTGTTTCAAAAATAATATGGAGTATCTCTTTCTATGTTTGGTAATTCTCTAATCCAACACTCTACGGGTTCACTTGAACTTACTCTTGACATTCTAGATCCGCCTCCGTCTCAGGTCTTGCTAGATTCTTGGCTAGCCATGCTGGATCCCCTGTTAATTTGACTCAATTGCTACATTCTACTATGTTGGCTTTCACTTCTAGGGCCGCAGTTGGGAAAAAGTTCAAAAACCAAGAGAGGTTTATATCTATATTATGTGAACTTCTTAAAGTTGGGACTGGCTTTAATATTGCTGATTTTTACCCTTCAATCAAGTGGCTTCAACATATAACTGGTCTTAGGTCAAAATTGGAGAAGCTTCATCATGAAGTAGATAGGCTACTTGATGAGATTATAGATGATCATATTGTTGTTAACAACAACACCACAAGTATGCATGAGGACCTGGTGGATGTCCTTTTAAGAGTACAAAATGACGGAAATTATGAAATAACTCGAAAAAATATTAAAGCAGTGATCTTGGTTAGTTCACTCTACTCTGATACTCTTCTCATTTTAGTCAGTTCCAAAAAGAATGACATACTTTTATATCTAGAAGCTATATGAACTTCTCAATTTATGACATGTTCATATATTCATACGATGTACACATGTAACAGGACATGTTTGCAGCGGGAACAGATTCTTCAGCAACAACTGTTGATTGGACAATGGCAGAAATGCTCAAGAACCCAAGTGTCTTAGAGAAAGCACAAGAAGAAGTCAGGAGAGTTTTTGGTGAAAAAGGTTATGTGGATGAATCAAACTTTGATCAATTGAAATACTTAAAAGCAGTCATCAAAGAGACACTCAGGTTGCATCCACCTGGCCCTTTGTTACTCCCAAGGATGAGTAGAGAAAAATGTAAGATTGATGGTTATGAGATACAAGAAAAAACTCAAGTGTTGGTGAATGCTTGGGCAATTGGAAGAGACTCGAGATATTGGGAGGATGCAGAGTGCTTTAAAGCAGAGAGATTTCTTGATAGTTCAATTGATTTCAATGGAAATAATTTTGAGTACATACCATTTGGTGCAGGAAGAAGGAGGTGTCCTGGCATGTCATTTGGTCTAGCAAATGTAGAGCATCCATTGGCTCTTTTTCTATACCATTTTGATTGGAAGCTACCCAATGGGATGAAACATGAAGAATTGGATATGAGTGAGGTGAATCTTGGTGTGTCAGTGAAAAGAGAATTTGATATGCATGTAATTCCTATTGTCACCAATCCAGTGTAACAATAATAAAAGCATCTATATAACTTCGCACTTTCTAATAAGCTTAATCATTGGTGATATTGTACCATTAGTTGGCCAATAATGAAACTGTTGATTCTTCGTACCATCGTAACTCAAGTTGGATAACTTTCAGATAGTTCAAGGAAAATCTTTCCGTAATTTCATATTTTGTGTCTACAATGGCGATTAGATCGACCATCAGGTCTTCTAATTGCGCCCGACCAAAACATCTTACCATTGGACACAGTACGCTCCGGTGTGTACAGAGGCTCAAACTGAGATGAATCAACACAGGGAACAATTGCTGGGATAGTTCTTACCACTGCGTACACCTCAACTACAAACTCAATTTCTACTCTGTGAAGATTCAGCTCATGACACTAGGTACAATGTATTCATAAATTTCACAAACGATGATGATTTCAATCTAGTATGGTACAAGAGAGTTGTTGAAATTGAAGGGATGAAAATGTGGCTTCAGAAACGTTCACCAGACTATAAGCCTGAAGAAGACATTTCTATTGCTCTAGTTTGGATAACTTAGCCCATCAAGTAGTTCGAAAACTTACTAGACAAGCAAGTACGATTCCCATACAAGGAACAATTTACCTATGATACACTCATACTCCTAAATCTGAGAGAATTCCTCAAAACTATCAGAGATGAATGTTAGCTATCAACAAAACTTGGTAAAGATAATAGATGATGCGCCTAATGATGCCCTACCAAACATCTAATGCCTGAAGTGTCTCACGTTGGTGAAAACAAGTGAGACTCCATACTTGTTACAGCACTCCACTGCATCCTTGTCCCTTATACTCCCTCCTGGTTCTGCAATAACGCTCACTCCGCTTTGACACGCCTCTTCAACAGCATCATTCCATGCTGATTTAATTCAAAAAAAAAAATTGTTATGAGAAAAAAAAAATTAATCAGAAACATGCGTTTAAGGCACATTAGAAGAAAACAATTTTTTTCTTTATGGTATATTTTCTTAAAATTTGCATTTGCACTTTCGACTAGTCATAGTTTGTCGAAACCTATTGTCCCACTTTGTTTTAAAGTTAGACTTGCTCTACCAGTACATGTACGTACCAAATGGGAAGAAAGCATCACTTGCCAAAGCAGCTCCTTTTACTTCATCTCCAGCTTTCCTCATAGCAATCCTCAAACTCTCTAGACGATTTGGTTGTCCACTCCCCATTCCTAACATACAATTGTTCTGCAATAAAAAAATTATATTTAGAAAACAATGAAAGAATTATCATTTATTGGATATATCAGCCAAAAAGTACCTTTGCAATTACTATGGCATTGCTCTTGACATGCTTGACACATAACCAAGCAAACTGTGCATCATTAAGCTCATTTTCTTGTGGAGTTTTGTCAGACATGACATTGAATTGGATATCTTCCGGGGTCAAATCATCTGAGTCCTGAGCTAACCAACCACCACCAATTTGTCTAAGAGAAAGTTTTCCCTTGTTGTTTTTACTTGCCTCAAGGATTCTCAAAGTCTTAGACTTCCCACGGAGAACCTCAAAACCCTTCTCTGTGTACTTTGGTGCGACTACTATTTCATAAAACATCCTAGTCTCACCATCTGTAGGGCTTCTAAATTCTCGAATATCCTTTGCAAGAGCCTGCAAAGAACCAAAACAGATTAGTTAAAAGAGTTGTCAACCTTGATGTGACACCTAAACTTAAAGTTCGATTTTGTATTTCTCCAACACTAGAAGGTGTGGTATAGCACATAAAAAAAAATTCAACATAACTCCTATAAAAAGTAGTACCAAATACAACGCATCATCACCCATTTAGGTTTCTAGAAAGAAACAAAAAGAGCACAATTGTAAGATCATAATCAACAAAATTATCAAAATATGCATCTGAATAGGTCCATTGAGTAATTTTACCTCATCAACTTCGACATTGAAGGCTACTATACCACCAAATGCACTAACTGGATCTGCTTTCACAGCTAGCCTATATGCTTCAATGATATCATTCCGTGATGCAACTCCACAAGGATTTGTATGCTTCACAACAACACATGTTGGTTTATTAAAATCACAGACACAATTCCAAGCTGCATCGGCATCCAGATAGTTGTTATATGACATCTCCTACATCAAGAAGAAGGCAGAGTCATTAGCCTTGAAACTTCAACTAGAAGAATCCATTCATGTGATGTTAAATTTAGAGCAATGAAATATGCAGTGTGCAAATGGACACTAAACAGAATTTGAGAATATGCCAAGTTATGAACATTAAAATGTAAACATTAGAATTCTAACCTTGCCATGGTGTTGGATAACAGTTGCAATTCCACCAGCATTAACCTCAGACAGAGACTTGTCAGCATAAACTGCAGCCTTCTGATGAGGATTTTCACCATATCGAAGTTGGTCTTTTAGAGAGAGTGGCACTGTCAGGCTGGGAGGGAACTTATCTACCAACAGAGACCAAAGTCATCAATCAGCATAATAGCAGATGAAAAGGCCTGCACTCTCTCACACACACTCAGTTTTAACATCATATTCAACAGAATATTTCATCTCAAAGCACAATGAGTCTTTGAAGGCTACTGTTCATCAAAATTAAAATAAATTTGGAACCTTATTTTTCCATGGAAAACCCATCGACATTTATATTTATTTCAAATGAAGAGGCCGAAGATGATCGTTTTAATGTTTCCAAGTTCTTTATTGAACCTCTTTATTTCTTGTTATGGGGAGAGAGGATGGGAGGAAGAGGGATTTGTTTTATTGGGCTGTATTAGTTTTGAAAGGGAATACCTCCAACAGTCTGTTTCCACAGCCACTCTGAAACTGCAGAATCATATGAAGCAACATGTTGAAAAGCTTTCCAGGCCAACTTCCTTCGAAATTGTTGGTCATCACTATCTCCACGTAGGAACTCCAAAAGATCTGGGTAATCTTCAGAATCAACTACGACCAAAACATCCCTATGATTCTGTTAAATAAGCACTGCCCACAGTTACATAAAGTTGTACACAACACAATGTAACAGTCAGCATTTACTAGAGAAGGTAGTTTTATAAATGTGGGAGAATTCACACAGAGAAGTACACCAAAAGATAGAAAGCCTACCCAAAAGATTCAGCAAGCATTATAAATGGTGTAAGACACTAACCATGATTTTACCAGATACAGTTTTGTTATTGATGTATGCCACAAATTGAAGCATACAACATATTATCCAGAAAAGCAATTCATAGAATTTTAGCATAGATGGAATACAAGTTAGCTCCTTGTTCAACTCAGATACTTTATAATGGATAAGAGCTTCCTACATAGCACAGAATGGCATTATGAAGCTAAGAGGAAAGTTTCAAATTTCAGATGTACCTACTTTATCCCACAACCTTTCTGATATATAAAGCATCCTATACAAGCCAGATTGCCACAAACTCCGAGTAGGAAAAAACATTTTTTATCTTAGGAGTCATGATTGCTCCCGCAGCATTTATCCAATTAAGATCAAGAAGCCAAAGCATATACCTAAGAAAACCTAAAGCTGTAGCAGAGAAGATTCGAAGATGAAAAAATGTTGGTTCACAAGTGAAATATATGTGCCAAAGCTTTAGATGCAGAGGTACAGAATGCATTAAGATAAAAGTAACTCGTCTTATACAAGTTGCAGGTAAGGGAAAAGTGATAAGCTAAGCAACCTTTGCAGCAGCTCTAATCATGGCAGGTCCACCAATATCGATGTTTTCAATTCCATCCTCAAATGAAATTCCACTTGAAGAAGAAACCTTGGCATAAAAGGGATACAAGTTGACCACTACAACATCAAATGTACCTGCACATTGAAAACATCATTCATTTGTTTCCTTATTCCTAACATAGCATCATGCTCCTCTAAGAAGACTAGATGTATGCCAAACCCCAGGCTTTTTTGGTAACCAAGCAAATAAGTGTTTCCATAATGCAAAATACTTTTGCAACAGAAACCTTGATTCCTTTTTTTAATTAATAAAGACCTTGATTCCTTTGGGTTCCAAGGTCAGGGTGTAAACTATGTATTCTACCATAATAAAAATCAATTAGCTCACCAATTTCATGCTTTTCAAGAGCTTCCATGTGATGCTCCTGATCCCTTCTAGCAAGAATACCTCCATGAATGCCTGGATGCAAAGTTTTTACACGGCCATCAAGCTGTGACAAGAAGAAAAGTTCTCAGTTATGTTTTTGAAGTTAAACGTCATGAGTCACTGCTCTCAAGTTATAAAATCAACTACAAGGATGTGTAAGCACAACACTTATTGGACCAAGCATTAAGAGAAAAGTTTGAATACAATATCCTACGAACCATACAAAGTAGGGGTGGGCATTCGGTTCTTGGTTAAGTTCTTTCAAACTTCGGTTTTCGGTTATTTATTAGTGTATACCGAAAATCACACCGAATTAATTCAATTTGGTTCGAGTTTTTTCTAATTCTGTTCTTTGGTGTGGGCCTAATTAATGGCCTATTTTTTTCTGCTTGTAAAATGGTTTTTTCAAAATGGCTATTTTGTGTTTTATGAGGCAAATACCTGCCTCAATCTTAGCTTATGAACTTGCGCATCAAAAAAATGGCTCGACACATAATAATTATTGGTGAATTTCACCAAAACAAACATGATATAATCTGAGCTAAAATTTTGAAACAGATAATTTCCAATGTATTCCCTTATTAGATTACATTACTGTAGAAACAGACATAATACTTAAAATTTGATACCGTTTTATAGTTAGATTATATCCTCATTAGACTATGGTAACAACAACTGAATGAAAGGCAAAACTTTTAACCGTAAAGAAATGGCAAAAGAAATAAACGTACGCCAGAAAAACATACCCTGCAGAGCTATTAAACCATTCTCAGAATTTCAGTTAACTGAAGACCGGGATCCTATAACCAAGAACCAAACAGAATACTGAAGTTTTGAAAAAATTAAAACTGAAACCAAAGAACCTAATTAATTCGGTCCGATCCGATTTTTGGTTCTTTGGTATTTATGCCCACCCCTAATACAAAAGATGTGCAAGAAACATGAAATTGCAAAAGGAAATAAAGGTACAATTACATGTAAAAACAAAGTTGTGCAGCTAAAAAGAAGTCAACCATCATAGCGAAGATGCAAGGATTGGCATTTCGATGAAGGTGTTCCATAAAATTTTTATTTTATTGAGAACAGAATTATTTTTAATAACCATGGTGTTTGGAGCAGCCTGTGCACACCTCAACTAATTCCACAGGGTACCTGCTACCTCCCACCGGCACAGATACCAGGTAGCTCCATCCACCAAAGCTTGGACAGATGGGAAAAAACCTCATGGTCGCCTTGGGGTGTTTAGGGATTGCCTCACCCCCGGGCAAGTTCCAGTTATACCTTTCAAACATTAGTCAGGAGTTCCTACCATTTCAGGGAAACGTGTCAGCTCTTCCACTTTGGTGACAGACACACCAGCACCTTCCAAAGCGGATGCAGTGCCTCCCGTTGAAACAATTGTGTACCTGCAAAATAGATTAAATAAGAGGTCTTTGCAATTTGAGAACTATCCAGTGGGATGTAAATAAGTTGTATGATTTTGGCCAGTAAATATAGGTAGCAACTAGACACTTCGATTTGCAAGATAATGGGTACAGTTTCATCAAAAGGAGCACAAAGCAAGACATAGGGGACACCAGCACCAATCAGATTAAACCTAGATGATATCATAACCGAGTGACTCTCAATGCAGATTAGGATTATGCCCTTTCATGTGATGCTCGACAGTCTTTTTTTTCTTTAGGAAAGTAACAGCAAGTGAAGTTCGGCAGTCATGTACATATAATTAAGATTCACTTCAGTAACACACTAACAGCTCTAGGCCAAGCAATTTGACTTGTAGATGCTGCAACCATCCTTCATTATTTTTGCAAAATATGAAAAAATGTTTCTGCAATCTTTACCCCAACTCCTGCAGCCCATTGCCAAGCTTAGCCAAGTCTGTCTTATCTGAAAGTGATATCAATGCTTGCTTCCTCCCTAACATAACCATATACATGAATAGTAAGTTCACATGAAAGTATAGTGATTGAATACATTCCAAATTTTAAATTGATAAGAGTTATTAAACACTGGCCTGACTTCTAAAACACAAGGTTGCTATCATGAAATGTCAATTTTGTAAGTAGCATTACTTTAGTATTACATGAAATTTTTTGACTTATCCAAAACAGCATTTACCGAATCAGAACACAAACTGATCAGCAAATTGCATGTTGAGCTTTATTTGGGTTGATTTTATAAAGTCCATACTATGTTTGATTCCTTGATGCAAGCAGGAGAGGTAAACAAGAGAGCCACTTGTTGTTACTTTCTTGATATGTTCGTTTACTTCTGATTGTTTTCTGTATGGAATAGACTCCTAGTAAAAGAGATATTTCCACCTTTTCAATCAATTCAAAGCAATTGAAGAAATGTCCAATCTATCCTCTTTTACTTTCCCCCTCTTTCTATGCATCCTCACCAGATGAATGAAATATAGCATAACTTCCCTTTCATACCCACCAAGTTTCCTACTTTTAATCCAAGTGAACACAATCACATAAAAATGGATTAAAATGTACCAAGGAATATCAAAATAATAGTCAAGTATGACCTTGCAGCTACTCCCTCAACTCCATAACTTCTTTCCACATTTACTTTCTTCTTTCTTATTGGAGTGCCGTGTGCATAGACTCTTTGACATTGACCTCTCAAAGGGAAAAATGGAACTTCAGAATAAGATGACAGTCAAAATAGTTAAAAGGTCAAAAGATGACTCTGAGAGGTCATATTGTATTGCAACTGATACATTCTTTGTAATTTCAGTTCTCGTGTTCTTTTGCATCTCCTTGGTGCCATCAATGAATACTCTTACTTCATCAAAAAAAGATCCATCAATGAAGACTCTTACTTCATCAAAAAAAGATGACTCTTAAGAGGTTGGTTGGTTTCATAAGAAGATATAATCTCCTTATCACATATTACGTATATAGCATTTGTATTTTCAGCATAAATACCGTTGTTTGGTTCACAGACAAAGTTATCACGGGATTACAATCCTGGGAACTAATTTATCCCACATGAGAGGTGGGATAAAGTAATACTACCAAGTTAGACGGAATAAGGTGGGATATCCAGAATTAAAGTTGGGATTAAATTTATAGTTCCAAGGCGTTTAAGACCACCTTTACCAAAACCGAGAGCAATGATAACTGCTAAACTAGTTTACAGACTATACAAACATATTCCAAAATTGTTCAAAATTTTCAAGCAACTATTTATTACATTCAAAAAATTAAAAGGGATTAACTAAAATTTACTCCAAAAATAATTAAAGTAAGTAAAAAAAAAAAAAAAAAAAGACCTGAAGTTGACAACTTGGGAGCAGACTGAGGAGTAGCTACAGTTTCAGCCATGGCCTTCACCGGATGAACAAACAACCTATACGATGTCTTCGAGAACTGGACCACGCAGACCATAAAACTTATTTTATTATCACATAGAAGAAGAACTATTAGGAGTATTTTGTTTTATTTTTCTCAAATTTTCATTACCTGTTGTGGGCCGAAACAATGATCAGTTCTTGTTCGGATGGTGTGGAGCTGCGGAATTTGGGTGCGGAAAGCTTTGGCGGCAATGGCGGTGGCCGGCGTGGTGGCGGCGGAAGAGGCCGATAGCATTGTTTTTGTTCACTTTTTTGGGGTTTTAAAAAAAAAAAAATTATGTCTGGGTTTTAATTTGGAATTTTGGATGGAGAGGAGAAGAGGCAGCACTTACCTATTGCCTTTGTATTTGCCCATTAGCCCTAGAAAATTAATCTTTTTTTTATTGGGCAATGAGTTAAAAATATATTTTGATAGTAATATTTTTTTCGTAAGTTTTACATTTGAACTATTAAAATATATATACTTTTTTTATTAGAGTTATTACTATTAATTATTTATCTCGTATTTAATTAGGTTAAGTGTCTGAAATAATCTTAAAAAATTTGTTTGTATATTTTCGTTCATATGATAATTGATTTATTAATTTTGGACCTAACCCATCGGTGGCCCCCTAAACTTGGCACGAAGTTTCACTTAGACACCTCAAGTGGGCGATGTTCATTTTAAACACCTCATGTAGGGTCTCACTGTGTCATTTTGACACTTTTTGCTGACTAAGCACAGTACGTGTGCTACACGAATTTTGAGCGCGTCAGAGACTTTTTTTGTAAATATTCTGAATTTTTTTATAAATATTTTCTTCTCCTTCTTCTTCCTTGCTTTCTCCCTTCCATCTTCCCCACCTTCTACCATCCTCCATCACCACACAACTTTTTTTAAAAATTCTACAATATTTTACTAGATTACACTCTTTGATTCTTCCATCTTCTTTGAAAATCGAATTTGTATCTTGATTCATATTCAAAAACAAAATCGATTTCAAGGGAACAAAAAAAGAAATCAACTTCTTTCAAATGGAAAAACTGATTTACATTTTTACCTTCTCCATTGAAAATTAAATTGATTTCAAGGAATAAAAAAGAAATAAAGAACAACCTCCAATGAAAAAAAAAATAAATTATTTTACATATCCTTCATTGTAAATCTCAATCGTAGTAGCACAAGAAATCATCTTCTTTTAAATGTCATATAAAAACTTTTCGATTTGGTATGATTTCCCTTATTCTCCAAAACGTATTTTACTTTGTAAACTAACCTATGTTCTTGCCTTTTTGATAGAGAAGAACAGATGAAGGGGAAGGAGGCGCAAGAAGAAGAAGAAAAGAGGTGGGGGCATGGGGTTTGAGATCTGGAAGAAAGAAAAAAAGAAAGTAAAATTGAGATTTTTAAAAATAAAATAAAATTTCCACGTGTCACATACCAATTCGTTTATTTTTCCACATAAGAGCGTCTGGATGTACGCACTTAAAATGCGGTTTTGAAAATATAAAAAGTGTCAAAATGACACAATGAGGTTTGACATGAGGTGTTTAAAATGAACAAAGTCTAGTTAAAGTGTCCAAGTGAAAGTTGGTGCCAAGTTTAGGGGGCCACCGATGAGTTAGCCCTTAATTTTGACACATGTTTTAATAAATAGTTATTGATACTTCATATGACAACTCATAAAAGAAAAATTAGATGTGTTTTTGAATTTTAATGATTTAAAAAAATCATTTTATCCCTTTAATTATACGGCATATCCATAAAAATGTATGTTAGCCCCTTTATATTTGTCTTAATAATGGATCAATTAACACAATATATTTTAAGAGCAGGTATCATAGTGAATGTTATCTGAAGATAACATGTATTCATTGATGAGGTGAAGTTAACTATATGTTAGAGTTTTGAAAATAGACCGTACAGTCATTAAAACACCATGTATGCACGGCAAGTTCAATAATATATCACACGAGACAAATGTAAAAATAAAGATTGATACAAATTATCTTAGAGAGGATGTTTCAAATATCTTGTACTTTTAAGAAAATAAGGAAAGTGATGATAATATCATATATCGTATTTAAGTGTGATGATGAAATAGAGGCTCTTTCAATTTTATTTATAAGTTTATGACTGTTATTTCTTTCTTTTTTCGATATCTTATCATACATCGTTACTCTTATATTTCGTAAATTTACTTTTTTTTTAATGTGTTTTTTCTAATCAAGAGTTTATCAAAAATAACTTTTATTCCCTAAAAAATAGAAAGTCGTGGATGGCCAAGAGGGCTCCCACTTGAAAACTTGGGATCTCAGCAGGAAATACGAAGGTTGCAACAAAATAAAATATATTTATAGTCCATTCTATTTATTTATGAAAAAACTACACAATTTTTTTTAATTTTTATTTGAAATTCATAATCTACTTCACTTCAAATTTATTTAGGCCTTCAAAGTGATTAACAAAAATATGGGGAAATAATGAAAGGAAAAAAAAACAATTCGACTCGTTTGACCATAAGTGTTTAGTCTTTTGTATTTTTCAACTTATTTTCATTTTTAAAGTTATATTTTAAAAATATCCAAACATAGATATAATTTTAAATATTCTTAAAGAAAATACAATTAAACACAATTTTATTTTTAATTCAAATTTTATCGTGTCATCTCACTTGACTTCAATTAGAATTTATATGTTTTTAATTTAAAATATGTATAAATAATCATTTAAATTTATATAAAATTAAATAAATAGATGCATGCCAACTTACGTGTAATGCGTTCAAATTTTATATTACACTATATAAGAGGTATATTATGTCAAGTAGAATATGCATATAGGTATATTATGTCAAGTAGAATATGCATATCTATTAGTATAATACTTTACATATATCTCATAGTGTAAATCCTAAATTACATCATATCCCTACTCTTTTTTATTTTACAAAAATTCCTTAAAATATCAGCTATCCGGATACATAATTGGTTGTCCGAATACATTAATTGTGATACACTATTCGGATCCTAATCAGAGAATTAAATTCTAAAATAACAAATCAATTCAAAATTCATGTTCATCTTTGTCCTTGTTTTAGCAAAGAAACTTTCGAGTAGGATTCAAAACTTTTGTTGAAAAATTAATATATGTATTAATGTGCTCCATATTTATTGTATCAGATACATAGCTGCAAGATCTTCACATTTTGCCTCAAACTAAACAAACTTTTGATAATAGCTTTTACGTATCACCATTTATGAATCTGATACATACTTGTGTGCCACTTTAATGTATCATGTACTGTGTACGGATACATATCCTTCTAAATTTGAATAAGATAGAAGATACATAGCAACACCTAGATACATTTGGACACGATACACTGTGTATGATAAAATTGTATCAAAACTAATATTTGAACACGATACATTGTGTATGATAAAATTGTAATGTATCGTAGTGTTGAAACGAAGACTTTATACATTAATTTAAGAAACAAAATTAACTAGATACATTTAAAATCTAGTTAATGTATCCCAAACTATAACCGTGAGATAATTTAGTAATTCGAACATGATACATTGTACATAATGAAATTGTAATGTATCATAATGTCGAAACGAAGGCATTGTACATTAATTTAAGAAACAAAAACAACTGGATACATTAAAAATTTGAACCCATATATATCGAAAAAAGATAAACAAGAAAAATCGGAAAAAAAATCAACAATCTGATCTATTTCGACTTCTCCTTCTCAACATTCACTTTAGAAGACAGATGTACATCCACTTTTTTCTACATTTACTTTAGAAAACGAAGGTACATCCTTCTTCTCAATCTTTACTGTTGTATCTTTTGTTTCTTTTACTATTAACATAGACATCACCCATAGATCAAAAGTCCTTTCCAAAGCCACCAGTAGATTGGCTTTTTCCGTGTTTTTGAGCATTTTTTCCACAGTTTATTTAGAAGTCGAAGATGAATGCTTCTTCAACTAGTTGAGTAATTTCAATACTAAAATAAGGATCATGATCCATATGTATCATGAAATAAAGAAGAAAAATAATAAAATTGAAGAAAACGACTATGGAGGAGACACACTATATCAGGAAATAAAGAAGAATTTTCTTTTGAAGAAGATGAGTATGGAGTAGATGCACTATACCTATTGAGTAATTTGAATTTGATTGAATGGAAAGATAATTCTTTTGAAAATCAAATTGATATGAAAATTATAACTGATAAGATTGTGGAGTGAATTAGGGAGAGATTAAAGAAGTGAAAAAAGAAAGAAAATTGTGTGTTAAGGCTGGGATACTTATGTATCCGGCTGATTTGAAAATTGGAGAAAAATAAGGAATTTTGAAAATATTTTAAACTGGCAGCGAATAAAGAAAATTATGAAAAATAAAGATGTGTATATAAGTAATTTATCCATCTATGTATTTATGAGCAGTATGGCAGGATTTGACTGATGTCAGTTTGTAAAGATGGCGGTACTCTTCTCTATCCATTCAAAGCTCTTTGTTTAACATAACGTGTCACTCTCTATGGAATGGAGGTGGCAAAATCCCCACTTTTTTAGCGACCCCACTCTGAAAAAGATGTTTCCTCAGAGACTCCGTCTTCCAGCTTCCGCATTTCAGTTTTTCAATTCTCCATCACTCACAGTAAACTCTCTTCTCTTCATCTTCCCCACTCCTTTTCTTTTTTCAAATGGAAAAAAAAAAATAAACCTCTTTTAGTAAACTAAAGCTCTTGTTTGGCTGTAGATTTTAAAGTTTTGATTTTTAAAACTTGAAATTGTGTTTGGGCATGTAGTTTTCTTGAAAAAAAATTTAAACTTTGTTAGTGAAAGTGAAATTTTGAAGATAAATTTGATTTTTAAAAAAGACTTATGGCTAGACAGATATTTGAAGGTATAATTTTGAAGTTCTGATCCAAAACTATTAATGTATATGTATATATTTGTGTTATTTTGGAAGTGCAAATTATGTGCTTCTTTCTTTGTTGCATTCAGATATTGATGTTTGTTGTATTTGTTTATCAATTTTTGGCTTGATAAATTGTCTGTATTCAGTCTCTGTCTTTGTTTTCAGTTTATGTTGATTGTTGGAACAATTCATAGATTTGAACGTGGTTCTGAGTCTTTTATAGGACAATTAGTTATTTATAGCAATTTGCTTGCTCTGTGTTTGACTGATACTATCATTATAAGGCTGAAATTTAAGATGATGAAAAAAAAGTGTTGTGATTTGAGCCTTTTGGGATGTCCCAAAATGTCAAAAACGATGAAAGTTTTTTTTAAAAAGGAGTCAAGTCTCCATGCCATGACGGGGGCAGGATTTTCACCCAGGGGTTCATAGTCTCTAGCTTCGCGTTTGAAAACAGATATTAGTCTAGGCTCTTTGATAAGGTGTAGTTCTTCCAGCTGATTTTGGATCAGCCTGAGAAGAAATACTATGAGTTTTGATTAAAAGATGAAATGACAAATTTTGATCAAGCCCACGATTGCGGTTAGGGTGAGTGGTGAGGGCTTCCCTTTGATGCAAAAGTAGTAGGGAGTATTAGATTTAGATTCATCATATTTGTGGTGATGCTGTTAATCAGTGAATTGTTACTATTCATGTTACACATCTTGCAGCACCTGTTTTTGTTACTAATTCAATCTGCCATCATATCAATAATTGAATCCACATATAGAAGATATTACTAAGAAGAAATGAACTTTGGTTTCCTTGGTTTTACTACACAACTTTTTCAAAGATATCTGAACTGATTGGCTAGTGGTGAGCTTGGAACTGTCTGATTTCCTCTTACATTCTATGAGGATAAATTTTTAATGCCATTTAACTTATAAGAGGGGAGTTTGTTGATTTTCAGAGTGCTTCCAGCATTTGAGGGAACCGTTTTCCTAATAATTTTTGTACACATTTCTGTGTTGTGGTTCATTATGTAACCTTAAACTGGTTGGACTTATACCGAGAATGTTCTAAATTTGTCTTATTTATCTGGTACTCTTATTGAAAACTGTAATTTGATCATTCTGTGAATTAACTTCTATACCGAGATTTTGAGGACTTGAACATTTTATGCAGATGGCGTACATATAACCACTTTTGGAAGTATAGATGGCAGAGTTACTTCAATTGGTCAACAGTGTTATGATCTTGCTGATCAAGCCTTTGTCACTTGTCAAATTCACTTGCTTCTTCGGTGTGAGAACAATATGCATTGTTATCCAAACATGGACAGAACTGCTGAGAGCTGCTATGGGTTTTCATGCCAGATTACTCTGGAGACTGATAATTTGGGCTATTGCTATTCTATCCCTGCCTATACGAAGTTTAACTGCTCTACAAAGGGAAAGGGCGGTGAGTTTTATTTTTGAAAAGTTTATTGTGTGTGTCCACTTTTATGTTTTAGTTTTTTGGATGTTTCTTCCACATGTCTTGTATGTACTGTTAATTTTTTTTTTATTCTAGTGCTTCATGAACCAGAACCACAGAAACTAATAATTGAATCATCTGAATGGGTAGTACACTCAATTTTGTTAGACCAGTACATAAGGTGTTCAAATTCCCCATCTGACATTTTGTGCAGCACTCTTGTTTGGATACCTATGTGAACTTAGCAAAATATAGTTGGTCTCAAGCTCGGAGTAAGAAGGAGGATTGTGGTAGTTGGCAATCAACTTAAAACTAGCCTAACTAGTGTGAAGTTTTCCGATATCTAATACTTGGCATACAATAGAACCTGGATAGAGCAGAATGAAAAAAATAGAATTCATATAGACTCATAGTAGATTGATATCATTGCTTGTAAAATTTGTGAGATCTGGAGTAATCTAGAATTGTGTTTTGATATTTCTCCTGAAGGGGAAAACAAAGTTGAAGGAAGAGGAGTGGAGATGGATAAGGTAATTTAATGAGTTTCTATCTTCTCTTTTCTTGTACACCTTGTGTGAGAGTGTGGCGGGGGTTTGGGGGACCAGAACATTTTCTATTGTATGAGGGTTTACTTGTCCTTTGTACAACTTTCACCTGTATAACTTGAATATAATCTTGTTAGACTTCACAGGTAGCTCTATTTCCAAATGCTGTTCAGTTTCGTGGAATAATTTCTTCAGTGAGAAAAATGATTAGTAACTTCATTATCATTAAGGTACTACCTGATCTATTCCCATAAACACAAAATTTCAATGCCACATTAACTTTGAAATCTTCCACCGTGTCAGTAGTCAGGAGTTATTAATCTGTTCCTCGTTAACGATCTCCTGCAATTCATATTGGATGCAAGGACTGGGTATATATATATAGTGTGTGTGTGTGTTTCGTTTAGTGTCACAGATGTCTATTTAGTTATCTCTTAAATTGATATAGCCTCTACTCTTCATTTTGAGTTAGTATTATTTGGCTGACTAAAAGCAACTGACTTGATATAGCCTCTACTTTTCATTTTGAGGAGTTAGTATTATTTGGCTGACTTAAAGCAACTGACTTGATATAGCCTCTACTCTTCATTTTGAGGAGTTGGTATTATTTTGCTGACTTAAAGCAACTGACTCGAGAACAATACATGTGCAGCTGGAGATGCATCTGCAGGAAATGCAGATCGAGTTTGAGAATCTTGTTTGGGAAAGGAAGCAACTTGAGAAGAAAATACTAGTAGCCATCAAGGATAAAAAGATAATGCAGGCCATGTTAGCAGAACTCGAGGATGAACATGACGATGCCATCGTCAAAATTGAGCAATTGGAGGACCAGGTGAAATATTTTCTTTCTCTACTGATAAAATCTCTGTTTGTATACTACTATACTAGTACATGTCACTTGAGATTTATAGAAATTTCCATTCTACCACTCGCTTGCTCCATTGTATCAGCTGGTGTCTCAGTTTTGTTGTATCATTGTTCTGCTAACTTCTTCTGTGCAACAAAGAAGCACAGCATAGTAAGGAGAATATAAATCTTAGTGTTGAAGGAATACATACATTTAGAACTGCGTGACTTGAAGAAAAAGTAACCCTGTTAGGATGGGTCGGAAAGTTGATCATTTACTTGATTTCCTGGATTTTGGGACTGTAATATCAAAATTCTCCATTATTTTTTCATCAGTGTCACATATTGATTTACCTTAGTAAGGAGAGGAGCTGATTAATAGACAAAGGGTTTATATGATCAGTTGTTTAGGACAAGATGCCATGGTTCAAAAGGCCATTTTTTGCAAAGATGACTTTCCTGCCTTTTCTTATACAGGAGAGCTGCTATATCCGGATCTGTGTGTTTCAGGGCATTGGATGGTTAATGTATATATATATAGATATATAAGAATTAAGAATGAGAATAAGAGCATTGTGATTATGGTGACCGTTCAGGGTTTTCCAAATGGTGATACAGCTTATAGACTATATAAACTTTTTTATGTAGTCGAAAGTAACTTCTTACTGTTAATTGTCGAGTCAATGCAACTTAGCTTAGAGTTACTGCTTGAATATCTGTCCCATTTATTATGTGGATGAGTTGAGATTTGGTTTCTTAAGTTTTCAGCTGGATAACCTTTTTCCGTTCAGATACGTATTTCTTGCTACTTCAAAAAAAAAGGATCTTATTAAGAGAGATATTGAGTTAAACTGATCACAGAAAAGCGGTAGCTTCGACATTTGTTATAATGGTCCTGTAAGTTCCAATTTTTCATTTGCTCATGATACTGCATATTTTGAGACGGGAAAGCCTGAACTTTCTATTTGGTGTGATATAGCTTCAGAATCTGAAGGTGGAAAATCAACGATTGAACGAAGTTCATAGTAAAGCACTTTCGGACCTAAAAGACCATTTTGATGGCCAAGTAATGCAAGGCTGTAGCGATGCTGTTCCATTTTGGAGATCAAGTGGCATTGAGAGCGTGGCCATACACAAGGAAGGAATGCAAGAAGATAAAAGCAAAAGCGGAAGTACGAGCCCTGAATTTATGGAAGCCAAATTCTGTCGAGATGTCAACCGGCCACGTACTCGGACCACGTCTGAGAATTTCGACACAAATGATGAGCTACACCAACGAAGGGATCTAGCTGTTTCCCAGACCCTTTTTAGTGCAATATTATCGCTCTTAGTTGGAACGATCGTATGGAAAGCTGAAGATGCATGCATGCCTCTAGTCCTCGCACTATTTGCTGTCGTTGGCATGTCGTTGTGGAGTGTGGTCCAGTTCTTCTCAACCATTAAGAACAGACCCGCATCTGATGCAGTTGCTCTCTTGAGCTTCAATTGGTTTTTGCTCGGAACACTGACATATCCTACGTTGCCAATGGTCACTCCTGTATTTGCACCAGTGTTATGGACTCTCTCAGACAGGGCTGTGGAGCTGCTAGGTTTCTAAATCTTGAGTTTTTTGCTTTTCGCAGTCGACACATACTACACTGTTTTTGGTCCTCTTGATGCTTGTAAAGTAAAAGTTTATCAAAATGTTTGTTCTTTTTGGGGTCTTGTCTTGTAAATTTCTTCTGAAAGAATTTGGTTTTGCTTAAACAGTTGTGTTATTGATGTCATGGATGATAAGTAAATGTATAATATCCGTCTTTTATTAGTTCTCCAGCTATGAGTTAATGCAGGTCAAAAACATGTCTGAATTATCTTTTTTGCGAGTCTCATATCTTAAGTATCCGTTGTTTCTTTTATCTACCTAAACATCACTCCTTTTGTATTTAAATGCATCTCAACATAAGTAAAGGAAAGATATCTTTAGCTCAATTATTGGTCAATAAGTGTCATGTGGATTGATTTTTATGGGGTTTTTTTAAAACCTCCAGGCGGCTGTTGCCTATTAGTTTCAGCTAGATTTTCAATGGAGTATTGAAGTGTGTTTTAATATTAAAGTGATGATTTTACTTTATGCATATGAAAATTCAGGACAACATTTAAAGGAAACCTTGTTTCTGCAACTTTCGACAAAGATAAATCTGAAATACTTTTGGAAAATGACATACAAACTTGTCATGATTCACCACAAAATTCTTTTAAACTACTCACTTGACCAATCAAGTTTAATATCCATTCACAATTTGTAAAGTGGGTTGATTTTTTATTAGGAGCCAATGGGTAGTACACAGAAACATGAAAGGCATGGTTAAAAAAAAAATTGATCCTCTTGCTGAATATTTTCAAAGATTTTCTTCATATTGATACTTCTCACTCAGAATTTGAAGAAACAATAGATTCCATCCACCTTATTTAATATACAGGTGAAGAAGTAGACAGACAAAAGAAGTAGTTGCAATAATATACTATGAGTAGCTAACATCCCACATAACACAATAGACTAGGTAGATTTCTACTATATATATATATATATATATTCCAATAGCCATGTAACTATTTCAGATAGGAAGTGATCCTGATGATGGCTTCTTGGAATCTCAAACTTCCAGCAAAAAGAAAGTTACTCTCAAATCAACTATTCTGCACCACAGATCCCTCAGCTTGCATTTACATGAAAGCATAAGTTCAGTCAGTACAGCATACAAGAGAAAAATTATAGAGAACAGAAAATAGATGTTACCAAAGACGTCAATGAAATTACAGAGAATGAGGCAAACATGGAAAGACTTTGAGTTGCATACTATACTCTATCAAATGCCTGACTTTGAGTTATATAATTTAGAGAACCATCAACCAGCAGATAAAGCAGCAACTAGAAGACTGATGCTATGGTAATTGAACAGAAATTTAACTTTACTGTATCATGCTGGTGATGTCGCAACAAAGTTTTGAGCAACATGACTCCTTTCCCATCGCAAAAAGAAGAGAACTGTATAGTTCTGCTTTAATTTTGGATGTCCAACATTAAAAGTTTTGAGTTGTGTTCAATTCGGATACTAAACACTGACATTGGAGAGAGAACAAAAAGTACCAAATATCATTGACATTTGAAGAACAAAAGGAACTGAACATGATAAGCAGAAAAGTGAACCTTTCATTCCTTCAGCATAGAGAATTTACTTACAAGAAATTTAACAGTCAAGAGTGGTCTTAATGAAACTCCATAAAAGCATTCAGAAAAACTACACAAGTCTCTGCTCAAACTATAGGGATCTTTGTAGATAGAGTTAGTCGTCGCAGAATTAATTAATTTGAATCCTCATTATCTTTCTGAGCTCTACCATCTACGGTTGTATGTTGTGTAGACTAAACAAGAAATGGTTAAGGTTTGGTACCAGTTAAGTTCCTTATTCAGCAACAACCCTGTTCTATTTAGATCTCTCTGTCTTTAACCAAGACTAAGTTCAATCACTTGTCCTTGCCAATGCAAAACCTACGCTAGAACTCAATGTTATCCACCTCACAATCCTATCTAGCACAAGGAACAGGAGCACAAGCAGCATCTTAAACCGCCACTTCAAAGACCCATGTATGCACACCACATGACAGAGGTACCAATACTGGTCTCATGCCATCACAAATGTCATCAACATCAATCAGTCTATCACGAATTGGAAGGAACGAGACGTATATGCCCGCTGACTCTGTTCCGTTAAGGGTCAATTGTAAGCTAGAAAAAATGTTAGAAGTGACCTACCAAAAGCAACAAATCTATAGCTATAAAACCATATAGAGGACCCAGACTCATGATTGATTTGAACATTGGGGTCTAATCCTCCGGCTCATCGAGTCCCTCAATCATATTTCTTGTGTTTTGCTCAGCTATTTTGTTTTGGAGTTTATTTTCCCCACAAGCATTTAGGACCACTGGACTGCAAGCAGGTCAGAAGCTCACTGGGCATGGTTACCAAAATAAAGAAGATATCCCACATTTTAAAATGATCTAGAAGACTGTGTATAGCAGAATAGGTTAGATATATATGTTTGACAAGTAAGTCATCTGTATCCACTTCTAGCATTCAATTATCAAGAATTAAATAATGGAAGAAATGAATGTCACAGAACAGAAGAATCAGTGATTACCGGCATTGCAACGCTGTTTGTCAAACCAGCTTTTTGTAGACATCAAGGCATTCACAAAATCTGACTCCACGGATCTAATATTTCTATCAGGTTCACGCACATCGGTGAGATAAGCATCATAGCCTGTAACAAGAGACAATTGTATTGACAAAAGATCACGAGCTAAATTTGATAGGGCAGGATATCTGGGGCTAGCAGCTTTCCACCATCTCAATACATCAAAGTTCTTGGTCCAAGGCACAATAGGTTCTTCCAGATAGCAGTCAAGTTCTGATTTTGGTGGCTGACTAGTTGTTTGGATGAATTTGCTGAACTAATCTAAACAGTCAAATCCAAAACTATGATCATCAAGAATTTCCATCTGTTCAAAGAGATCTTCAACCGTATCAGAATCGTCAGAACCTGAATCGCTGATAGGATACTCCATTGAGGACTTGTGCACCACATAGTCATGGAGAAGGCTTCGGATGGACTCCAAGATAGACGGTAGCGGTGAATGATCATTATCTTTATACTTCAAGAAACAGAACTCTAAGTACTTCACTTTGTAGCGTGGATCCATAATAGTAGCTAGAGCGAACACCAAATACATATTCCTCCAATACTTGTCAAACTTTTCCAACATACTATTGGCTAAATTTCTAGTAAATTTATCTGAACTCACAGAATCTTTCATCAGATTAAATCGAAGATTATTAAAATTGTGGAAGTAGAGGCCTGCAGTGGGACATTTTGCCATAAATAACACTTCTGCTGCAGTATAGACATGTCCTACAAGTTTACATACTCCCCTAACTTTCTCCCACTCTCGGGGAGAAGGTATATGATAACCCTTATAATCATCTGTTTTCAAGTATTCTCCTTTAGCCTCCAACTCCAATGCTTCCTGTAGTTTATGAAATGTCACATTCCACACTGGTAGTGATCTGCCCCAACATACGAATGTCACTGATCAAACCCTCTATCATCCCAAATGCTCTTTTCACCATTGAACTGAAAATGTCTGAACAACAAGGTACACGAAACAATTGTCCGTCTGGCTGGAGTCTTTTCTTTTCAAGAAGTTTACTTTTAATGGCATCAATAACCTCATCAAAGTCCAGTTAGCTATGCACAGTGACAGCACATATCTTATCTTCAATACCAAAATCTGAAAGACATTGCATTGCCTCACCAACATAATCGTCATATGCATCAAAAGACTTAAAGCTAACAACCCAACTTCTTAGCTTCCAGTCTTCGCTAATGAAATGAACTCTTAAGCAAATGAAATCAAAACATGTTTCCTCACAATCTGAGGTAGGCCAGTAGCCAGGTTCATTGAATTTGTTATAAGTTAGCCTCTCAACTGAGAGGCTAACTCGTCCATTCAAGCTTCTCAAAATTTCTTTAACATTTGCTTTCTCTTCCTCGTACAATTCCAAGCAATACCGTGAAAGAATGGCAGATGAAGAATAAAATTTTGGATTAAGATAGGCAGTTAATTTTTTGAAGTGCACGGCTTCTACTGACTTTGGAGATGTACCGGATTGACAGAAAAACTTTGCCATAGTACGATAAGCTGTTTCTTCACTGACAACATGCTCCTTCCCTAAATTACCTCTGCTCACGTTCCTCGGATTTGCATTTCTTGGTTCACAGTCATGTCTTTTCTCTTTTGTTGGTATATCTGGAAAACAAAATAAAGAACCACTTGAGCCAATTTGGTTGGAGGGATTATGAAAAATAATGCCAACACAAAGTTCTATATAAAATAATAGTGTTTGATTGGACGATTAGGAAAATAGTCTCTGAATAACTAATGCAGCTTTTGGTAGGGTGTATAAGAAGAAAAGCAATCCCTATATTATTATTCACTATATCATTTCTATTCTTATTCACACCAAAACCACATCTTGGATTACTTTTTATTGCATAACTAGTATGTGAACCAATTGACCTGCTAATGTGTAGTAACAGTGGAAGACAAATAAAACAAGTAAAAGAGAAGAAGAATGGAACCAGATCTAGGAAAGAAGTCACAGAGTGTTTTCCTCTTTACGTCGCTCATTTCCGGTTTATAAACTGCACCTGAGATGAATCAGATAAGAAGGTTGAAGCATATAATATGATGTCAAATTTTCAGATGTAGAAACAGCATTAAAATTTGTTCTTTTCTTCAATTTTCTTCTTTCAGACAGTTCTGCTGTGGGATTTTATCCAAAGATCAAATATGTTGCATGATGTAGCATGAGCGGGTAAGGTCTAGTGGGATCACACTAGCTAGGCATGTTGTTGATTGTTTGTTTGACTGTGGCATGAGCATCTTCTAGTATAAGTATCGGATTGTGATATGGATTTGACATGGATATATTCAATTTTGAGTGTATTTTCGAAAATATATATTCGAAGCTAGTTGGGCTTGGCTATATAAATCCT